TTGGCTTGGAACCACAAACTGACAAGTAACTGAGAATCCCACTGTTCCTCAGTGATTTAGAACAAACAATTCTGATAATCTCATTTCCACCCCCATCCAGAAATAGAGACTAGAACTGATGTGATTTCATTGGTACAGGAAACTAACTGGTATGGAAAATTCCTATACCAATACAGGTCAGCACCTTAATGTTTTCTTTACTATATTTCTTGAATCTACCTCTTCCTTTCTATTTTACAAATATTTCCCTAGTTCAGGCCCTTATTCTTTCTTATAGAATCCCCCAGGGATATGTATTTGGCTCCGTACTATCTAACAGCAAATAGAGTTTTTTTATATTTGATACATTTTATATTTGATCATATTTGATTCTAGAGGTGATAAGGAGATATTGAAGATAAGGTGTGTGTGTGTGTGTGTGTGTGTGTGTGTGACATGGTCAAATTTGCATTTTAGGAAGACTGACTCTAGAAGATAGAAGATTTGAGGCAGGGAGACACCAACCACTAGGCTAGAGCAATAATCCAGGCATGAGGTGATGGGTAGTACTGTCACAAGTGAAGACAATAAATAACATGGACAAAGAAGGACATAGTTATTTTTAAGAAGAAAATATATCAAAAATAATGTATAAAATCACTTTGAGAAATGATCCTTAAACTCAGGATACATACATAGACTTTAATTTCCCTTGTCTCAAATAAGAGAATACCCCTCAATTGTTAACATTGTTATTATTGGAGCAGCTAGGTGGCACAGTGGATAGAGCACTGGCCTTGGAGTCAGTAGGACCTGAGTTCAAATCCAGCCTCAGACACATAACACTTAACTACCTGTGTGACCCTGGACAAGTCACTTAACCCCATTGACTAGCCAAAAAAAAAAACCATTATTATTATTGATGTATTTTTAAAGAAAATTAATGATTTGGAAGAGACTAAGAAGACACTACCAACCTACCCTTTCATGAGGTGGGAGATCTGTGGTTATTATACACCATATATGTTTTCAGACTTTTTTTTTTGGTGAGGCAGTTGGGGTTAAGTGACTTGCCCAGAGTCACACAGCTAGTGAATGTTACGTGTCTGAGGCCAGATTTGAACTCAGGTCCTCCTGACTCTAGGGCTGGTGCTTTATCCACTGTGCCACCTACCTGCCTTGTTTTCAGACTTTTTCAATGTATCAATCAGTTGTGCTGACTTTTTTTCTCTCTAAACAATATTACTTGTAATATGGGATCGTTTTCTGGGAGGGTGTGGAGGAAGGATACATGGGACACTATGGTGATGTAAGAAACTGAAAACATCAATAAAATGTATAAAAAAGAAAAATAATGATTTGGATGAAGATACAGGTGGCATTTTGATCAAATATCATATGACATAAAACTGGAAGGTAGTGAACACATTAATAACAGAGTCATGATCCGTAAATATCTTGAGAGGCTGAAACAATATGTAGATTCTAAGATGAAATTTAATAGAGATAAACATAACTTCTTGGACTTATTTTTCAAAATAAATTTCACTAGTACAAAATAGAGGAAATATGAAAACAATTTGTTTAAAAACTCTTGGGATTTTAGTGAACTCCAAATTTAATATCAATCAGTACTGCAGCCTAAAAAGACCATGCAAGGAGTTGTAGTAGAATCAAATCAAGAACACTGAAAGCAATGGTCTTCTTGTTCTCTGACCTAGCCAGACCACTTCTTAGTCATTATGTTAAATTCTTAGAATCAAATGTTAGGAAAGACATTGATCATTCATAGAAGGGTGACCATGATGGTATGTTATCTCAAGACCATGTCATAAGAGGATCAGCTGAAGGAAATGGGGCTGTTCAAATTTGAGAAAATATACTTACAGAAAGCATAATAGCTTTCTTCAAATATCTGAAAGGTTGTCCAATGGAAGAGGAATTATACTTAGTCTGCTTGTCCCAAGACAACAGAACTAAAAGCAGTAGGTAGAAACCGGAGGGAGAGAGATTTTAGGGAGACATAAGGCAAAACGTCAGAACAACTAAAGCTATCCAAAAGTGAAATGGGCTTCCATAAGAGATAATAGTTTCCTCACTCCGTGTTTATAAGGGAAAGTTGGATGACCACTTGGGCGGGGGGAGGGGAGTAGTGGTGGGGGTGGGAGATTGTAGACAGGATTCTCGTTCAAAGGTGTGTTGGGTTGGATGAACTTGGAAAATCTTTCCAATTCTGAGATTCTATGAATCATGCCTGACCCCTTCCAACAGTTTTAGAATGAGGTGATCTCCCTGCCTCTAGACTTTCTCCTCTCCAGTCCAATTTGTACACTGATTAACAAAGAAAGTAACAAAAAAAGAAATAAGCATGAATAAGTTAGTTGGGACCAGATTGTGACTATGAATGCAAGGCCAAGGAGTTTAAATTTGATCATGTAAGTCAAAGGCATTTAAAGATTTGAATGGGACAGTGATATAATGAAAGGAATATTCATAATCTGGTCCCAACCAATTTATTCAGGTTTATTTCTTTTTATTATTTCTCTTTATTCAAACTTTTCTCCCCCACTTCATTACAAAACCTCTGCTGAAACCACCCAAGTCTAATTATTCTACCTGAACGTGTTTTGTCATTCAGACCTTAAAGGCCCAAATCAACTCCCTTCTTTAAACGTTCTTCATAAAACACTGGAGTCCACAGTCGTCTTCCCCTCCTCTAAACAAATAACACTTATTCTCAACCACACACCTTTGGCAATTACTTACTTACTATTGCACAAGATGTATAGCCTTCTGAGCCCATATTGTTCTGATCAGCCATGGTCAGACATCTTGACCCCAACATAGTGATATCATTTTAGTCCTCTTTGAGAATGAAGGACAACAACCATCATATATTATTTCTTGAACTGTTCTTTAATATTTCATATATTTACAATATGTCTCTCTGACCAGACTGTAATCTCTTCAAAGACAGACTATGGCCATGTCATATACTTCTCTGTATTTCCTCCATTATCAGAGATAGCATCTTCTGTGTGCAATGTGTGCTTAATAAATACTTGTTGCTACATTGATTAATGTGACCCTGACCAAGTCCCTTGACCTCTTTGGTGTTCAGTTTCCAGGAAAGGTCTCTTGCTACAGGTACGATTTGAATTAAGTCATAAAGGAAGCCAGTAGGTGAAGGTGAAAAAGGACAATGTGTCAGGCATAGAGGACAGACAGTGAAAAGTGAGAGATGAAGAACTGTGTGACAGGAAGAGCAAAAGAAGCCAGCACTGCAAGGCTGTAGAGTTCCTAGAGAGGAGTAAAGTATAAGAAAATTGGAAAGATAGGAAAGAGCCGTCTTGTGAGAGATTCTAAAAGCCAAAGTAATATGTGATAAGGCCTTGAAATAGGAAGGTAGAAATGTGAATAGAAAATACTTCATGCCTTATTTTATTTTGTCCCAGGGGATAGAAGTATGTGTTGTTATGCTTCAAAAGCTAAGTAGCAAAAGAGTTCTGGAATAGTTACGATATAAAACATCAGTGATTGGCTGGAAACCCTACGAGCAATACTCTTCTTTTGAAAGCTTCAGGCCATGAGTTTATTAACTACACTTTGGAAAATGAAAGCATTTACAAGTATTCCTCAGAAAGTAAAAAGCAGCTCACCCTGCTTTGGGGATAGCAATGATAGCTGACCTTGTTCTTATCCATGAAAATACTCAAAGAAATTTAGATAAATTTGCATGTTATAATTGTTTCTGTAGAAACATCGATATTGCTGTTGTAAAAGATAATAGCCATTTCTTAGCAATATCATTTTATTTATTTTGATGTTTTATAAGTCTTTCAAGCATCACAAAATAAGAAATATATTAATAATCTACAACCTCAGATACTCATCACTGAATCACACATTTTGCTTCATTCACTCAACCTTAATAGAATTAATCTGGTGTAATCTTTTTTTTTAATACATAGAACCTACCTGTATAAAACTTCCATCTAAAAGGATTTTTTAAAATTTCTCCTTCACTCATTAAGTGAACTCAGTTATTTCTAAAATCATCTGCTGAATACTTTTGCTAATTGATACACTTCAAATAAATGTGATAAAATGAAAAGCTTTATTGAAAATTATTTTAGATATTTACCAAATATATTTAAAATATTATTTTATGAAAAATTGTATTGATCAAGGGCATCTTCAAAAAGATATTTAAGAAAATATGATTTTCTACATAAAAGATACTAACAGAATAAAAGATATTCTAAATGCTTGCTGACTGATAAGGTGCTCTCAAATGCAATTATACCATAGGGAAAAACTATTACAGGTGGAAGAAAGTGGAAGAAACAGGGTTTTTTCCCTTTTTCCTAAGGAGACAAAATACATTTTGTAATTCATTGTCATCTAGAGATGATAATAATAACAGTAATAATACATTCACCACAAATTTTATAATTTTTATGAACTGTAACTATCTCCAGCATCCTTAAGAGAGGGCCCTTGGAGCTCTAAGCACATGAATTAAAACTACCTCAATGAAGCTAATGACAATAATTTAAAATTTTTACATGCCACTAGTTCGTCCTTTGTCTTCCTCAATTATGAAGGAACCAACCTCTCCTATTGCTTCTAACTCATAAAAACTATCATGTAATATCAACTTGACCAAGCTGAAAGTTATCTACTATAAGGAATGATGTTACTAAGATTTTTTTAAAAGTAATATAACTCTGCCTTCACTCAGTGATTAGAGGAATCAGTTTAAAAACATAGACCAGAGATTTCTTTTTGTCATTTAAAAGGCAACGCTCTCTGCACTTTCTTAGTTGACAGTAAATTAGCTTTGATAACTTCACTCATCTCTTCAATGACATTTGCATCTTGAAGAATGTCTTCTGCTAGAAGTATCACATGACAGTAGGTTTCTTTCTCCACAATAAGAGGTTCCTAGACTCATTAGAAAACACAAGGCATTGGAAAGCAACAAGGCACCAAACCGTTACGAAATATTGAAAACTTACATATTGTCATTGACACGGTTTTTCCATTCCTCCCTTTTGAGTTCCTCCTGGGCCTCTTTTACCGCATTGATTGATGTGGCCACCCGCAAGGTTGGCTGCAAAGGCTTGTAGCGCTGCTGCAATACTTCAGCGATATCTCGGAAGGGCCCCTGACAGGTACAGGATAAGGTCAGTGTTTTATTGGGGTGGGTTTCTTTTGACATATTATTGATGACCAAGGATAGAGAGTGTCTGGGAAGTACAAGTTTTTCTTAGCTAAATAATTAGTAAAACCAATGGCTTTTTATACAAATAATGAAAAACTTGAAGGCTTATGTACTTTCTTACAGCAATTAGGAATGTTCTCATGGCTTCAATACGGAAGTGACCATTTCCAAGAAAAAAAAAGTCTAATATAAGATGGAATTGTTGATTTCACTTAATCCCATAGTAACAAAAGGTCTTTTAATTGTTGAGTGGTTCAACTTGTGGATTCACATGACTTTATTTTCTAATTTAAAGGGATATTATTTGCTTTAATTATGTAAATGTCTCTCTTATTTTTAATCAGTAAAGCTATTTAAAAAATTCTGAGCACGACCTTCAAAAATGCCTCCCATAAATGACAATAAAGCAAAAACATGTGGATTTTCCATTAGCTGAAAGCTTTAGAAGGAAACTCAAATCTTACCTTTAACTGATAATATGCAAAAAATCTATCAGGATCATAATTTCTCAATAATTTTACAAATTCTTAATGGAAAAATCTATAGCTATATTGTTTAATAAATTAGATACTGATATTAACCATATCATTACACACACACACACATATCTATACACTCACACACACATACAGAGGAAAAGCCTGTACTGCATTTAAAGATGACTTATACCATATCTTATTTTAAGTAGTAGTAGTAATAATAATTATTATAATAATATAATAAAAGTAGTAAGTGGTACAAACCCACTTGTAGTGTAATTAGTACTACATTAAGCTCAGTACAAATCAGTGGCAACTCAAGGTTTTGTGGTGTCACTAATTATATCTTGTTTTCTCTCCCCTTTCTTCCTCCTCCTCTCCCACCCCAGCATTATTGTTGTTCTGTGAGAGAAGTAGTAAAACATTCTGAAAATATGAATGGACAAATAATTCTAATCATGTTCCTTATTCTTAAAGATCTCCTTTTTAAATAGGTTATCACTAACAAGTCACAGCTGGAGTTACTGCAAGCACTGAGTGAAGACTGTGGGGCTAATAAAAAGAAATGATTCACGCCTCATTTATGTTCACTTATGTTTTACATTAATAGAAACCAATAATAGGAACCAGTTACCATAAAAGTCATGGACCGTAAATAACACAAATGGCAAATAAGTATCATCTAGTACTTTTCACAGCTGGACAGGAGGATTGCTGTATTTGAAAGTAGTTAATGGATTTATATTGGAACTTTACTTTTTAAAGATACAGGGACATGATTCCATGTCTCCTTTTAGAAGCATGCAGGAATCAAATATCCATATTTTTGTGCTTTTACAAGGTCTTACTCTTCTTAGTTCTAGAAAATACATGGGAATGTTGAATATATTTTGGAGACACCATTGACCAGGCTTTGAAAATAGAGGGAAACAAGTTTTCCCAAGAATTAGGTATAACAATATTCACAAGCCATTTGTTAAGAATATCAATGTTATTTAATTCAACAGTTGCCATATTGTTTGGAATGAGATGTAAAATATAATTTTCTTTAAGATAATTATTTGTCACCTCAATCTAAGAGACTGACAACATAGTGAAAGAAAAAAAATGACTATCAAGTGATATATAACATGCTATGAAAAGATCGTGGATGTCTTGAGGACAGTTAAAATATCAACACAGATTTTTAAAATGTCTCACTCATCATACATTTTGGAGTATATTTTTATTCCACAGAAATGTGCCACTTCCTTAGTATCAAACAATGTCAAAAAGTAGTTTTCATAGTCCGTTATTTTTCAAAGGGGTGGGTTGGTATGTGATTAAATCTGTAACATCCAAATAGACCTTTCTTCCTTTTTGGCATTCTTATTCTAATAGAGAACCAAGGTCAAGTTTTGGGTCACCTGTTATCTATAATCTTTGCTGCAAATAATTGTTCTACTTCTTCTATTAAATTATGGCTATTCTAATATCTTAAAGGTTTAGGTGGAAGCAGTGTGCATGCTCTTATTAACGTTCTTTAATGAAAAGATGACTAATTTCACTATTATCTGTACTTTTGTTAGACTGTAACTCTACTTAATACATCAATAAAAATGATAAATCAGATATATCAGATGCATTAAAACTTTTTCTTTTATATACATTATCTTACATATATAGTTCTTAGCTATAAAATGCAAAATACCAATGTTCTAATGAGAAAACTTATGGATAGTTAATTGTTCTACTTTTAAAGAGCTATAAATCTCATCATCATTTAAACACTACCTATAAGAACTAATATCATTTTGGTTATTTAAAAAGGTGTTTTAGTAACAAGAATATATTGTAGTGTATGATATAGAGGAAAGCCAAAGTATATTATGTAGGCATTGTTATTATAAAGAAGTGAATTATGGAGAGAAAAAGTATTTGCATTACCTTCTAGCGAACAACCCAGACTCTGAATTCTTATGAGTTTTCACTTCTAATTTCCCCCAATAACACCTTTAGAATATACATTACAGTACAAATGCCATCTGTCTGGCAAATCCATATGTGAGAAACATAACTAATCCAAATGCAGAAATTCTATTCAAGTTGGTCTTTCAAAAAGCAATAAAATGACTAATAAAAGCAATTTATTGATTTAAAAAGACATGAATTAAATTCATCCAACATGTATTAAATATTTGCTATGTGCCTGGCACTGTGCTGGATACTGGGAATATAAAAGTACTGCCTTCAAGGATCTTACATTATAGTCTCAACATTTTAAATGCAATAAGGTGTTATTGTTGTTTTTGTTTTTCAAATGAACTCTACTTCTTTGTTTTTGTTTTTGGGAAGTAGCATGAGCTAGTGCATATAGAACTGGTCTCTGAGTCAGAAAGGCCTGGATCCAAGTCCCATCTGTAATATACTCTGGTTGACCAAGGGTAAGTCACTTAATTTCTCAGTTCCTCTGACTTGTCAATCTGCATTGCTACATGGGTTTCCACACAAGGAGTTCCCCCATGCCTATGAAATCATAGCTTTAGACAAAAAAAAGTTTTCTATGAAGTATGACTATAACATAATATTGTATAATTATGGTTGCATTTAGCATCTATTCAATACATATTTGTCAGATGAATCAGTGAAAGGACAAATACCAGATTAATATATCTAAATAGGTAGGGTTCTTCAAAGATAAACATTTATTCTAACCATTCTAGTATATTACTAAAGACATACATTTTGCACTTCCTCTTTTGGGACTATCTTTGGAGTAATATAAGAAAATAAGTTCCATTGGTCCTTGTGTGTCACTTGTAAATAAAAATTATATTAACCATCATCCATCAAATTATTAACTAGATGTTAACTATCAGCTTGATCATCCACTTACCAATGTGACTCTAAATGGCTTTTATTTCTAAGAAAACATCACTGTCTTCAAAAGGGTCAAGGGTCAATATTTGTCACTTGGAAAATACTTAAATATGCCAAAAATTCTAAGGACAATTTCAAAAGAGGAATTCTAAATATATCTTTATCAAAGGCATAATATGTGTATAGCTTCCCAGTGTTATTTTGAAAGGGATTCAGTCTAATGGTCTTCTTGGATCTCTACCTCCTGCATCTCTCTTATCCTGCCATGTATACTCACTAACTCATGCCATGAGATCAAATATAATCCCATGAATAGGATATTAAAAAAAACTGTCATGCAGCAGGAGGATGGACTCATCCACAAACCATTCTTGTGACTAGTCCTATTGCCACTTTGCTGATCCCATTCCCCAGGGACTAGAGTTCTTCCCTTGAACTTTATTCACTTTCTCCATTAATATTCTAGTATCTGAGATAGATTCTAGTGCCCTAGATATCTGGTCTTAACACTGGTGATCTCAGCTTTCTGGGTTTCAGTCCCTGACATCTACTGCCAGACTGGATCTTAACCTATCATCAATCCTGCCCAGGTGTACTGATACTCAATCTTAGACTTCGCTTTTTCTTCAGTTTATTTTACTTTTGTTTCACTTTTCCTTTTCCCTTTGATGGATCTTCAAGTTTTGAATAGGTTTACCACAGTCATACCCTCTCCACTTATTTCTCCCTGAGTTGTTGATTCATCCAGATTCAGTCTAATCATATGGGCCTACTTCAATTTTTGAACCTGGCTTTCTTTGTTCTGCCCTGCCCTGCTCAATACTTGGTTATGATATTAAGGTGTATATATTCCAGTATGTTGTTTAAAATCAAATGTTTTTGATTTTATTTTTGAGTCACATCAGAAAACCTCTATTATTCTTTAGAATATCACTTTTTAAAAACTTAAGTCATCTCTTAAAATAATGAAGTTAACAAAAATATCAATAAGATTTTCTAAGTGTGCTTTTGTAAAGTAATGTGTTGTAACACAATGTCCAAGTTGTACCATACTTGGATAGGACATCGGGAAAATAAGATGGTTATATTATACTTGGGCTATAGCCTAGACATTGCTAAATATTGCTGGTATTTGCATGAAGGTTTATCTATGACTCTAACAACGGTTAGAGTTAATAATGGTTAATGCTCTAACCATTTGGTAAATTCTTTTTATTAGTATAATGCAAAAGAAAAAAAAACCTGAGTAAGTATGTGAATTTCACCCAATCACACTATTGAAGACATTATAGACATGGTCAAACTTGTCCTAGGAAGGGTGTATAACATTAACTGCCATACCAATGAGTGTGGCATGGCATGTGGGGTGTTAAATACTCATTTTAAAATATTGTGCTTGTTACACACATTGCAATTGGATTAACCCAGTTATTTTTTTCCTTGAAATATGAATTCAATTGTGATAATCTGATAATGAAATACGTAACATGTGGTCAACTTTCCATCATCTATACCAATGGAAAGGAATAGTGGCATGGATAATTCCAAATAGCAAAGAATACAAAAATAATTCATTTGTGCCTTTAGTATTAATTTTCATATTGACACTAAAGATAAAGGTATTTCTGATATCCTGATAATTTACTTAAGAAAATAATAAAGTTATATTGTGAAGATCTGGCTAAGAAGAAATTTGAAATTTCTCCAGGTTCTCTCTTTTGGTTCCCTTTTCAAATCTTATCTTTTCTCCATTCTGACCTTTTAGAATATCAGATTGAGCTAGAGGCATAACTCTCTCCGATTTCATAATTTACTTGGTTAAGGATAAGTAATTAAGTATTTTGCATTTTTAAAATAGTTATGCTCTTTGTTAAGTCAGTGTTGGAAAGAGTTCTAGTGACCTAACTAACTTTTAATTGCAAAAATCTCCTTTCTTACAGTTCAGACAAATAGCAGAGTTGAAAGAATAAACAAGGAATCAAAAGTGCAATAATAAGGAGCTGGGAACCATAATTACAAACAATAAATGAAAAAAGCTGATGACCTTCTATATTTTGGTTGTGGATTATGCCTTGTCTTGGGCAAATTCTCATGTTACCAAATTTTCACTTTTTACTTTACTCACATCCAGACTAAACAATACATACACGAAGAATGGCTTACAAAATGAAGAGTGAAATTAAGTATAATTTGACAGAAAACATAAACTTTTAAAAAATAAATCACAGTAGGAAAAATACAATTCTAACAAATTTCTAGAATCTGACTGATAGTACACTTATGCAATTTTTGATAAAACAAAATACTACTACAACAAAACAGCTTGGAAAGTTCCTTGTAAAAGTTAATTATAAAATGATCCAACTTATTTGGTTTAAAATTAAGATTAGTTTATTTAAAATTAGCCAATCCTCCTAGCATGTTGCAAAGACAATGAATACTGGTGAAAATGCAAGTTAACATAATTGCTACAAAAGAACTATAAAATACCTGGCATTGCTTCCTGTTAATGGGTGGTAAAATGTCTGATCGTGGAAAAGCACGCTTACTCGTGCAAGCGAGCCAGGAGGAAAGGTCTTCATAATCTGTCTGCTGAATCTGAGGGACTGGAGATGTCATCTGAAATGCCCTCACTTTCTGTAACTCAAACTCCATTGGATCTGGATCTCTAAATGGTGAGTTGTATATGCCTGGAATCTAAAATGGAGAATATTATTTTAATATTGTTAAATATATTTGATCAAAGGATAACTATACATTAAGACACATGTTAAAATATAGAATTATGTTTTAAAGCTATTTTAACCCATAGTGTTTATCTGTCACTTATGGCCTACATTACATAAATTGTTACAGTTCAGAATTAGTGATGTGCTGGTAAATATTTAACAACTGACTTTCTGAAGGGAAAAAATGTACATAAGACATACTTTTAAGCTTAACTCACTTTATTGACATTTTCTTCGTTGCTTTTTAAAAGTCTAGACAATCAGCAAAAAAATAAATCAAGACCTGATTTATAGGATTTGACAATTTCTGAGGTGTAGATGCTAACAGAAAATTTCACAATAGGCCTTCCCAAACCAATAGGGCATGCCTCTAGCACGACCCTGTCTGGAATTCTCTTCCTTTTAACATCTGTCTCCTGTGACTTAATATAAACTTCTTGAGAGCAGAGATTGTTTGTTTTTTAAACTTCTATCTCTTCTTGAGCATGGTGCTTTGCACATAGTAGCTACTTAATAAATGCATATTTGTTGATTAAGTGTTGATTTTTGTAAAACGATGAACTGGAAAAGACTCTAAACTAATCATTAGTCAGTTCCAATCACATATTGAAGCTATCAAGACATAATAAGCAAATCATAAGGTACGAGTCAGTCATATAGTCTATTATTATGTATAACCTATAAGGATAAGCATAGTACTGAGCACGTAATAGTCAATGAATGCTTGTTAATTAAGTGTTCATTGCATACCATTATGCCTGCTATTTAAAAAAAAATTGAAAATAGTAATTAACTCTAACCCTCTGCAATCTGACTTCCAACCTCATCAATAAACTGAAATTACTTTCTCCAAAGTTACCAATGATTTCTTAATTGCCAAATCTATGGCCTTTTCTCAGTCCTCATCCTTTTTGATCTCTATGTGACCTTTGACATCATTGATCATCTTGTCCTGGATATTCTCTTTTCTTTGGAATTTCATACTACTTTCTCCTGGTGTCCCCAAACCAGGGATGTGCTGGTTTAACATTTTTAACACCCAGCTCTCAAAAGAAATAAAAAAAAAATACCATGACATGTTTTTATGTTTAATCTATATTAAGTCAAAACAATCAACAAAATAATAAATCAAGTCATGAATTTTTTAATGTTTGCCCATTCCTGATGTATAAATGTTCATACTGAATTTAACAACAGGCTCTGGAAGCCAGTTTGAACTAACTCTAGATACACCCATACCCCAAATCTCTGTGCTAGGCCTTCTCTTATTTATTTCCATGTATTTTCCTGTTTGGTAATCTCTATCATTTCCAATGGGTTCAATTATCTTCTCTATGAAAATGATTCTCAGATCTATCCAGATCTAACCTGATTCAAATCACCAACTGTTTATTAGGCATCTCAAACTAGATTTCCAAAGATATCTCAAACTCAACAAATGTCCAAAATAGAATACATTATCTTCCTTCCCCAAAATGTTCTTCTCTTCCCAACTTTTTTTTTACTGTTAAGAGCTCCACTATCAACGCAGTGATTAAATCTCGGTAGCATCATCAACTTTTTACCGGCATTTACCCCATATATTTAACCTGTTGCCAAGCACTGCCATTTCTGTTTTCACTATGTTTGTTTTATTTTGCTTTCTTTTTTTTAACGACCAACTCTTCCTATATCAAAATGCAGTAGCTATTCACTGGCCAGTACTTACTGGCCTAGGAACTTTGAATTGCTCCATTTTGGACCTTCTGCTCCTTAGGCAACCGAGTGGTCCCTGATCCTGGGGGATCACTATACTGATGACAGATTTAGTGCAAACATCCATTCAGCTTAGCCTACCAGAGCTCAGAATTCTCAAAGTCAAGCAATCCACCAGCCTCAGCCTCTGCAGAAGTAGGGACTACATGAATGTGAAAGAATATCTTTCAGAATCCCCTCTTCATTCACACAGTGACCACCCTGGAGACAGCAATTTAAGTTTATAGATGAGGTTGGAAGCCAAATTGCAGAGAGTTAGAGTTAAGTACAATTTTCAAATTTTTTAAAATAATAAGCATAATAATATGCAATGAGCAATCAATCAATAATATTCAGTGACTATGATATGCTCAGCACTACACTCATTACCTTATGCCTGATCTGTTGTAACAGCCTGCTGGTTTGTCTACTTATCTCAAGGTTCTCCCCATTCCAGTCTATCCTCCACTCAATTGCCAAAGTCATTTTCCTAATGCTTAGATCTGAAAAATCTGATTGTCCTGTGTATAGAGAAGTTGGAAGCCCTGGAGGTAACTGGTACCTGGAGGAATGGAAGAACATGGACATAAGAAGGAGATTTCTAGCCAAATGCAGAAAAACAAAAAAGATCAACAAGAGAGGATATAGGCCATTGAGCTTGAGGAGAAGAGCCCTAACATAGGACAGTGTACTACTCTCTGACACCTGTAATAATTGTCATTGTTCTAAGAGTGAGACATAATGGAAAAGGAGTATCCATGGGGGTAGTTCTACAAGGCAGTGGCAGAAATCACCCAGAAAGTAGATCCTAGAATGGATATCTTGGAAGCTTCAAGACCAGATCATAGAGGAGATGAATCAAAGAATGAGGGTATAAACAGAAAGAGAAGATGAATAATAAAGAGAGTAAAAGAAATTCTTTCTGGAAAGGGGTGCAAAAATGAAATAAAAAAAGGAAGAGGACTAACAGAAGGGGAGGAGAGGAAGATACAATCAACTTCACTAACTGAAAGGAAAAAGGTGGGGGAAGGAATATGGAACCCAATAAAAGCAGAAAAGAGAAAAAAAAATAAACAAAACCCCAAAGGGAAGAGGGTAACAAGCAAGAAAATAGGATCAGAAGAAGGAAAAGAGAGCCAGTGGGAACAGAGTCACCTAAAAAAATTGAAGTAAAATAATTGAAGGAACATGATGCTGTACTTACAAGCAAAAGAGGGGAAAATGTGATTTAAAAAAAAACTAATTTAGACACAGATGGAAGAAAATATAATCCTAACTCATGACTTTATATGTTAATAGATTAAACAATCCAATAAAACAAAAAAAAATGAAAGATTAGATAAGAAAACAAAAACCTACAATCTGTTGCTTACAGGAAACACATTAAAAAACATACACAAAATAAAACTGAAGGGATGGGAGAAAATATTAAAAAGCATCAAATGAATTAAAAAACTCAGGGGTTGCCATCCTGCTCTCTGACAAAGTAAAAACAAACATTCAAAAAATAAAAGGGGACAAACAAGCAAACTATATTATGCTGCAAATAACCACAGAAAACAAACTAATATCAGTAATAAATGTATATGCTCCAAATGCCTTAGCATCCTAATTCATAATGGAAACATCATTTAAACTTTAAGAAATAAAAGAGTAACAAAGTAGTGACAGGAGACTTCAATGTTCCTCTTTCATAAATAAACAAAAGTAAATATATGTAACTGAGCAAATTTTCAAAGAAACTAGAGTTAGAAACTAGAGTTATGGCATCTGCTAAATGGGACAGCAAAAGAATACACACAGCACTACATGAAACTTTTACCAAAAAAATGAATGTACTAGGGTACAGAAGTGTTACAAACAAATGTAAAAAGGCAGAAAGAGTCAATACTTCCTTTACAAACCACAATGCAATAAGAATAGAAATTGGTTCAAGGCCTACAAACAAAAGATACAGACCTAAATGGAGACTTAACAATAAAATATTAAATAATGAGTAAGTAAAAGAACAAATCATAGAAAAAATTTGGTAACTGTGTAAAAGAAAATGATGATGAAATAGCAGTCCAAAATTTCTGGGATGCAACTAAAGCATTCCTCAAGGGTAAAATCATATCCTTACAATTACACATTAACAGAACAGACAAAGAGAAGATTAATGAACTTAAAATGCATTAAAATTAGAGAATCAACAAATAAACAAACCTACAATAAGCACAAAGATATTTGAAAAACTAGAGGGGAAATAGATAAATTAGAAATGAAAAATAAAACAAAAAGCTTGTTCTTGGAAGTGACTAATAAAATTGAAAAATCCTTAGTTAATCTGATTTAAAAGAGAGAAGAAAATTAGATCAACAAAAGAGAAGATGTGCAAGATGAAATCACAACAAAACCAGAAGAAAGAAAAAGAATAATCACAACACATCATGCATAGTTAAAAGATAAAAAAGTCTGAAAACAAAAAATAGAAGAATATCTTCAAAAATATAGAATTCCCAGACTATCAGAACACCAGATAGAGAGCTTAAATAATCCAGTCTCAGAAAAGTAAATCAACTTAGCTGCAAAGGAACTACCAAAGAAAAATACATTCTGTACCTGATGGATTCACAGGAAATTTTTATCAAACTTTTTAAAAAGTTAGTACCCATACTTCACAAATTATTCTCAAAAATTGAGAAAGAAAGAATTCTACCTTGAATCTTTTTATGAGAAAAAAACATAGTTCTAATACCTAAAGGGGAAAATAAGACCCAGAAAGAAAACTATAGGCCAATATCATTAATGAACATTGACTCCAAAATTTTAAAGAAAAATATATCAAATGAGCTACAGAGATTTAATAAAGAAATCATTCATTATGATCAAGTGGGATTTATACCAGGGATGCAAGGATGGTTCAACATTAGGAAAACAATCAATATAACTATCATATTAAAAACCCAAATATTCCAAACCACATGATTATCTCAATAGATTAAAAAAATTGACAAAGTATAACATTCTTTTATGCTAAAATACCTTCAAAGTAGACATAAAGGGAGATAGCATAAGTAAATTAGAAGAACGTAGAACTTATTACCTGTCAGATTTAGAAAGAGAAGAATTATGAGTAAAAAATATAGCATTGTGAGATGTAAAATAGATAATTTTGATTACAGTAAATTGAAAAAAAGTTTTGTACAAATAAAACCAACATATCCAAGATTAGAAGGAAAGGAGAAAGTTAGG